TTTTGATAGCCGGGCACCATCAGCTTTCTTCGATAAAGGAGTTTTCTAAAGAGATCTTCGAATACATGGGGCAGCAATTTTTATCTGGTAAAATTTATTTCATTCCCTAAAAGGGAGGGGAAGCCATTTTGAAATATTTGGACAGGCATGATACTTTTTAATAGCAACAGATTTATTATATTTTAAGAATCGAGCAAATAAAGGCAAAAATATATGTACCTAAATGACAGATTTTGTACTATAATTGATTAGGATTCATAAAACATTGAATTAAGAATCTTACAAAAAATAAAATTAACTTGGATGTTGGGTTTTCTTGTTAAATTCAGATCTCTTGTCTTCTGTATTAGAGGCCATTAGTCATGATATTTTTCAGAAATGAAAAAGGAAAAACTCTGAAAGGCAAGGAAGAAAGAAGAATTTGAAGAGAGAGTCAAGTGTGTTCCTTTGGGATGAGGACCATTGGACCTTGGAAGTTGTTAAGAAAGCGTGAAAACGGAGCACAAAGGAATGAGAACGTTGTTCTTTCCCAACCAGTACTAAATTCAGAAAACCTTTCTGTAATATGTGCCCTGAATAAGGTGCTCCACAGGTGATCTTAGAATGTTACTCATGAAGCAGAAAAAAAAAAAGGCCTCCCTGCTACAGGCTGGAACCAAGTCCAAACTCACAGATTTTAACCAGGAACCAGCACAATCGATCTGCTCGACCCAACCTTTGTTCTGAGAAGTGGACAATGCCTGCCTAATGTGACTCAGGACACACAGTTGTATGTTGACAACTTCATCTTTTCTACCACAACTCCTTGTTACTGACCTGTTAGCAACAGCATTTCAACCCCTTTCTAGACATTGGTGAGAGTGCCAATAGGGGTACTGAACAGAAAAGCCCAAATAATCAATTTTCCAGTTTCAACCTTGATTAATGAACTGGTACCACAAAGTTCTACATTATCCCCTTCCTGTAAAGTCCTGCCCCACCCCCAACAGTTAATTTCTGGGCTGTAAATTTTTATAGAAAATTAAAATTTTTTGACTCTCTCACTTACTCACTCTCATAATCGCTAACTCATTCACTCACCCTCTCACTCTCTCACTTAAAAAAAAAAAGAAAATTAAAAAAATTTAAAGACATTGTCTCCTTTCCTTTGCAGAGCTGCCCTGCAGAACTAGGTCTGACTAGCCCACCTTTTGATCTGCAGCTCTGTGCTGACCCTACTGCATCCTAGGACTCCTTTTAGTTAGAGTATTAGAAGGGAGTGTTTGCCACTTTATATCACAAGTATGCTGTTCCTTATGCTTTAAGGATTCACAAGTCACACAGTGAGCTACAAACTAGAAGACCAACTCTTTCCCATACTCCTCTCCACTACAAAACAAAACAAAAACAAAACAGAACAACAACAAAAAAGCTCAACCAATCAAGCATTAATTTATCAGTCCATCTACCCAAGACTACCTGCTTCATTAAACAGTCTCCTCCCACACGCCCCTCACCTAACATTCTGAGTTTTGCTCAGGTAGCCAGAGAGAAGACGCACACCACCTGCTTACTCTTAGAAAATGAGTTAATTTTCAGAAAAATGATCCCTAAAACCATAGACTTGGAAGAAATGGTAAGATGACCTAGGCTAACTGTTCATTTGGTAGATGAAGCTCAGAGAGGGAACATGGCTTTTCTAAGGCCACCCAATATCTATAAGTGCCGTATATTTACACATTGAACTTTGACACTGTACTACTACCATGCCTCCTTTGCCTCTCTCCAGAGGAATGGTGATCATGAGACTTACATGTAGAAGACACTCTGTAGTATAAAGGGGAATAAAAAAGCATTGCTACTAGGGTTCAGGGTTCATACATGCATATGTTTATTCTAAACAACATGTGCTAAGACATGCCTCTGAGCAGCGGACGGCTGCAGACAAGTTCTCTCAGTAATACACGTGTCCTGCTCTTGTTAGGATGCTTTCAAAAAACAGGTTCAATCCGAGCAGTGGTTTCTTAGGGGATCTGTTGGGCTGGTTGAATTCAAGACACAGAGGCCTGCTCAGAAAGTTATGGAGACATTTTTTGGGGTTTCAAAGGTATAATCTTGGTAGATTTTCTTGAGGACACAGGGTGATTATGGGAGCTTATTATGAAGAAATTTTAAGAAAACAAAGACTTCCATTGGTGAGAACAAGGCCAGGAAAGTCATACCCAACATTTCTTTCCCCATCATAACAATGCGCCTGCTCATTCTTTGAAGGTACCAAGGGCTACATGTCCTATAAGAATGTCATTGGGAAACCGTATTCCATCCACCCCACAGCCTGTGTCTTGCCTCTTGAGGCTTCTTTTTGTTACCTAAAGTCAAAGCATACTGAAAAAGAACACAGTCTGAGTCCTTTGTGGGTGCTCAGACTGCCACTTCCACTTGATGTAATCAGAGTGTAGGCTCCTTTAAGGAAGG